TAATACTTCATATAATACCAATTCATAAGAATCCTAACAACCACTCCAAGCACAACATTTCTTGTATTTGGTTATACTGGAAAATGTATTTTTAACTCTGAATAAAAAAACATCTAGTTGTAACTCTCCTGACTGCGGTGTTTTCTCTATGATATGGACAGAAAAAAAGACAACTGCATTATTGTTTTATAAAATGCAAAATTCCAGAGCAATTTCCATCCCAGTATGCAAAGAAACAGCTTGCATGCTCAATATGATGTGTTAACGTATGGTGACATGAAAATGAACTCACCTGATCTCTTTGCAGGTTTGTGTGTTGATGAAAGTTTTCCATGCAGGTGTCTTTAGGAGACTTTGCCTAATATGATAAAACCTGCCATGAATAAAAAGAAAATTACATTTGAGTATAGTTTGTCTAACACTTAAGACAAAAAAACGAAATCCTTTGGTATTAAATAAATAAAAACAGACAGACATATAAATACACATTTAAATAATATATATATATATGTTTTAATTCAGTACAAATGTAATAATAATGTAAGAGATTTTAATGAATAATCTGCACATACCTATTTGTGTCATAGTGTGATATTATATGTTTGTACACAATGTATTCATATGATTGTTTTTTCAAAAGGTCATCTGTGTGCATTACTATATTAAACACTTCATATTATTGTTTTTACACTAACAGCATTTGCATTTGTTTATCAATAAATCTGTATTTAGGTACAATTCATACAATTAGAACAATCGTTGCAGCATGTTCTTGAACGCAGCACCGACTGCTTTTTGTGTCGAACAGCATTCTGGGAAGGGACGCCGGTCGAAAGCTTCTCGAAGGAACTGCAAAGATGATGGTGAGTGAGTTAGCATTCATGCCCGAAATCAAATGTTTAATCCGTGTCCATCCTTCAGTTTCTCAGCGGGCATCTGCATCTAGATAACTCATCATTTATGTGGCATCCTTTTGTCGGCCTAAAGAAACAACGATTTATTGGAAAATGATTGTAAAACGGCTTTATTTTTAGCCAGACTGTTAGCCTCGTATGCTACCAATGGGCGTTTACGAAGCTAACGGTGATGCTATTGAATAAAATATATAGTACGCTCAGCTGGTTACCTTTTGGTCTCTTCATTTAATTTAAGTATATGTCTGTATATAAGTTTTGTTACCACCTTTGAAATGGTCATTGTTAGTCTGGTTATTGTCATGTTATCTGCTGTGTGTTAAGCTTCTTTGTATGAATGGCTGCATAGGAAGTTAACGGAAGAGCCTATTAAATTAAGTTAAATCTATTGCTGGTTTTGTTAGTGCTATTGGTCAAGTAGCATTCGTATGTGTCTGTATATTTATGAGACATAGCTGTCTGAAAGAGAATGACGCAGAGCAACAAAGACAAGTGACTCTTTTGCTAAGTCATTTGCTAATTCCTGCTAGCTAATGAACAGAAAACAGTATATAAAGTGTGTTGAATGTGTTTTTGTTTTTTTACATGTAACGTAAGTCTGCTACAATGAGCATTATTATTAGCAGACTATATGAAACAGAAAACATGTGCAGACTTCAGGCTTTTGACAGTGTCGCACATCATGTGTGTGTAACAAAAGCATCACACCCTGCAGCTACAAGAAGCAGCCACAGCCTGTGTGTTACCACTTTAGGTTATTGCCTTAAATGGTAAAGCAATACAACTTCTAGACTGTTTTTACCCAAGCTGAGTGACAATACCATAGTAATGTCAAATATTTTTGGGATAAGGAAAGTTCCAATGCTTATTAATAATGTGAAACATGCTGCACTTTTTACACATGGCATAATTATGCATTTAATTATTATTATTTTAAACACCAACCACGCTTTCTTCTCCATTCCTTTTATCCCTTTCTCTCTCCAGCCCACACCAGTTATCCTGCTGAAGGAGGGGACAGACACGTCTCAGGGCGTTCCCCAGCTCGTCAGCAACATCAATGCCTGCCAGGTCAGCAAAACTTTAATTTCCCCCCCTGTATTTGTTTTCTTACCCTTTTTGAATTGGTCAGTCTAAATACACCTGTTGTGTCTCTCCAGGTTATTGCTGAGGCTGTCCGGACCACCCTTGGTCCAAGGGGCATGGACAAACTGATGGTGGATGGCAGAGGTGAGGAGAAATGGGAAGACAAGGATGGAGGAATGGATTAAGTGATGAGTTTACTCTTACTGAAAATGTGTGATTGTGTTTTTCAGGTAAGGCCACCATCTCCAATGATGGAGCCACCATCCTGAAACTGCTGGATGTGGTTCACCCTGCAGCCAAGACCCTGGTGGACATCGCCCGCTCCCAGGATGCTGAGGTGAGAAGTGTTTAAGCATGGATTATGTTGAGGCAACTGGTTACTTAGATTTGTTTTAGCCACATCCTCAAATAGTTCTTAATAATGTTCTTCATTACCATTTTAGGTTGGTGATGGCACCACCTCTGTTACCCTCCTGGCTGCTGAGTTCCTGAAGCAGCTCAAGCCGTACGTGGAGGAGGGTCTCCACCCTCAGACCATCATCAGAGCCTTCCGCACCGCCACCCACCTCGCTGTCAGCAAGATCAAGGAGATCGCCGTGCCTGTGAAGAAAGGCGACAAGCAGTAAGTGCTCACTTTAACCAACAGGTTCTTCACAAGACATGGTTGGAGTTAAATAGAACTTTTAAAATCTTATTTTGTACTTTTGCAATGAACTTTCCCATCCCATCTTTCCTCTCAGAGAGATGAGGCAGCTGCTGGAGAAGTGTGCAGCCACCGCCCTGAACTCCAAGCTCATTGCCGGTCAGAAGGATTTCTTCTCCAAAATGGTGGTGGATGCCGTCATGTCTCTGGACGTGCTGCTGCCTATCAAGTTGATCGGTATCAAGAAGGTCCCTGGAGGAGCCCTTGAGGTTTGTACCTTTTTTATATTATTTTGTTCAAACACCAAAGTGAACAAAGGGTTTTAATATTTTAGTTTGACTTTGAAACTTATTTCCTCATTTCATATTTTTTTTATTTTCTACAGGATTCCCATATGATCTCTGGAGTTGCGTTCAAGAAGACTTTCTCCTACGCCGGGTTTGAGATGCAGCCTAAACGTTATGACAACCCAAGGATTGCTTTGCTCAACGTGGAGCTGGAGCTGAAGGCTGAGAAGGATAACGCAGAGATTCGCGTCAAAAATGTTGAGGTATGAAGACTAAAACATAACACAACATAATGATTGAGAGTAATAAGTGCCCAGAAATGTTGTTAATCTCTCCCCTTTTTTTGTTACCTCCCACCTTCCTGCAGGAGTATCAAGCCATCGTGGACGCCGAGTGGACCATCCTGTACGACAAACTGGAGAAGATCCATCTGTCAGGAGCCAAGGTGGTTCTGTCCAAGCTGCCCATCGGTGATGTGGCCACGCAGTACTTCGCTGACAGAGACCTGTTCTGTGCCGGCAGGGTGCAGGAGGAGGACATGAAGAGGACCATGATGGTAGGAAACAGACAGAAACTATACAACATTAAAATGATTAACATTGATTAAAGTAACTCTATTCTATAGAGGAATGTTAAATTCATTAGTGGCCACTTGTGTGTTTGAAACCTCAATTATGTTTGAAGTAGCTTTAAGACTGTGTGTCATGTGTCTTCCAGGCGTGCGGCGGCTCCATCCAGACGTCGGTGACGGCCCTGACAGACAACGTCCTGGGACTGTGTGAACACTTTGAGGAGGTCCAGGTTGGAGGAGACAGGTAAGAAGGTTAAAGGCACAAGTTAAAAGCTTTTGTCTGTCTTCTTCTGGGTATTACTCTTTAGAATAAATAAAGCTCTATTATTCTCTACGACCGCTCACACCCATCCTGTCTGTGTTTGCAGGTATAACTTCCTTAAGGGCTGCCCCAAGGCGAAGACCTGCACCATCATCCTGAGGGGTGGAGCGGAGCAGTTCACAGAGGAGACGGAGCGATCACTGCACGACGCCATCATGATCGTACGCAGAGCCATCAAGGTCAGTACACGCATGGGATTGTTACGGAGAACCGGTCCTTGTACTCTTACTGCAATTATCTGACCCTCCTTCACCTGTTTTCAGAATGACTCAGTTGTAGCAGGTGGAGGGGCCATAGAGATGGAGCTGTCCAAGTACCTGAGGGATTATTCCAGGACCATCCCTGGAAAACAGCAGCTGCTGATCGGAGCGTACGCCAAGGCCCTGGAGATCATCCCCAGACAGCTGTGTGACAACGCTGGCTTTGACGCCACCAACATCCTGAACAAACTGCGCGCCAAACACGCACAGGTAGGAAGTCAAACATGCTAGTCCTACATCAGACTTCCAATAAGGATTTGGGATAGGCACAGAACATTTATTAAACTCTTCTTGACTTTGTCTCCCTGCAGGGCGGTATGTGGTACGGTGTAGATATCAACAACGAGGATATTGCAGATAACTACATCGCCTGCGTCTGGGAGCCCTCCATCGTGAGGATCAACGCTCTGACAGCAGCATCAGAGGCAGCCTGTCTCATCCTGTCTGTGGACGAGACCATCAAGAACCCCCGCAGCAGCATGGACGGACCACCAGGGGGCGGCAGGGGCCGCGGCCGCGGCATGGGCAGACCCCATGCTCACTGAGAGACGCAGGAACGGAAGCCCATTTCTAAACTGGAATTACAACCCAAATGCAGATAGAGGACGGTGTTCATGTTTGATCTGCATTTAGATTGTAATTGTAGTTTAACATTTGGCGTTTAAACAGCCGTACACACATTGCATTTGGCAGGTGTAGTGAAACAAAAAAGGGGAAGCAATTTCAAGATGGATTGTTAGAGTTTTGTCAAAGATGGCTGACGTCTGTGTTTTTCTTTGTCACCTGTAGTTTTTTCTTACTGAAGCTTTCACTAGGTCACGTCTGTTTAACATTTCAAGCACTGTATCTTTCCATGTGTAGCCATTTTGCTGAAAAAGTGATGAGGCAATACAAGAATGAAAGTAGTTCCCCCCTTGGTTTGATGAAACACTCCTGTCCCCTCAAAGTGAGCTCTCCTCTGAAGCAGCTGTTCCATCAGCTCTAATCTGCGCTTGTGTTACCTGACAAACTGATGTGTAACATGGGAAGTAAAGCACTGATGTTAAAGAGTTCTGAACCATTCATTGTTTAGGCTGTGAAACTATTTATTGGACCATTCTTATCAATAAATGCACAGCTGAAATCATACTGCTGACTTGTGTCTGTTATTTTTAACAAATGTTCAAGGGTGGGGACAGAACATTAAGGTATTTTACTGTGGGGAAAATTAGTAAAAAGTGTTTTATTGTAAAATGTAGGGCCATGGATTAATCATTGGGACAATAACAGGATTGTGCTTTACAACCTGCACAATTTGGAAGGAAATGAACTGCAAAAAAATGAGGTTACGTCTCATGTTGAACATAGTACACTGGTTCATAATCTTACTTTACATGCATACGAATACAGTTTATTACAGCATAAAGATATACATTTAATGTGGCACAGCATGCTCAAGGCTAAAGCCCCCAAAGGAGCAGACTTATATTTTAAAGACAAGTTTACTCAAGTAATGTGATGTGAAAAATGTCTAACACTAAATACACCTGAATAGTGATGTAAGGTTTAAGTAACTTGCACATCTTGCAATAATGCCACAGTCCTTCCTTTTAAAGGGTCCTTAGTTTCTACTTCAATGATTTTTAGCTTGTAGTTCAGTCTTTCACCACTAGGTCACGCTCAACCACAGTCACATCAGGAACAAAGCTGCAGTCCAGGTAGATGTAGTCAATAGCTCATATATGGACAGAAAAATATGAATGAATGAGGTATCGGACCCTTTTGAAATCCCTGTGTGATTCATTATATGAGGGGAAAAGGAAACAGTCTTCCTATTAAAGAATGAACGTGAGTGAGTCTCTCTCTAGGTAGTATAATACGGACAGGTTGATTTATTAGAAGGTATCTGTTTATTGGAGAAGGGATGTGTACTGCTCCAGCTTCCATTATGGTTTTACAGAGGTCATACAAAAGGAAAGGGGCAGGAAATGCGTGTGACAGCATTATAAGGTGACTGAAGACAGTAGATACTGTCTTCTTCTCTTGTTAATAAAGGGTGCCCTTACTGCCCTACCCTCCAGTTGAGGAGATGCTGAGTAAAAAAAAAAAGTTTGAATACATTTTTATTCTCTACTCTAATGAGTAAATGTAAAGCCTAAATGTCTGAATCACAGGATGTAAGTCTTAGAAGTCCAAAAAAACCTGTCTCCCACTCCCAAAGTACCGCTTATTATTCTACAATTATCATCCCAAGAATCCGTTTTTTCCTGTTCTCCACTTCCTGCTCCTCCTCAATTAGCCAGGAAGTCTATGGAAGCCCGGACGGAGCGGTTAGACATGACGTCAACCGCTGTGACTTTGATCTCCGTGTCTCCAAACTGCATGGTGGCTCTGATCTCTCTCCTCTCCGGTCCTGCTCCTCCTGCTCCTCCTGCTCCTCCTCCTCCGCCTGCTCCTCCCACTGCTCCCGGTAGCGGTAGCGGCTCCGGTAGGTCTAAAGTAATCGTCCCGCACTTCCTGACCCCGGGGTCTGAGATGTAGGTGACGTCCTCCGAGGGGCTGCAGTAGATGTTGATGATGATCTTGCGCTGCCCCAGACGAGCGGGGGTGTAGCTCCGCTTCACGACCTCGCCCAGAGCCACCGATTGGTCCACGCAGACGAAGCGGTCCAGGATGTCGGTGCACCACTCACGGCCGTCCTTGATGAGGAGTTTGTCCCGAGGGTGGCGCCCCTCCACGAAGCGGTTCAGGACGCCAACGCCGTAGATGAGGGGGCAGCGGCGCACTCTGACCTGAGAGACAGATTCTGTTAGAACTTGTCAAAGACCTCCATCACTAAAACCTGCTCCTGATTACTCACCACGGTGGGATCCAGCCCAAAGAGCACGGCCCCCTTCAGAATGGTCAGTCCCACGTCATGGGGGATGATGATGCGACACGTCCGCCCCACTGCTCTCTGGACAGCTTTCTGCAGCATGGGCGACTCGGCAAAACCACCGACCAGGAAGAGGAAACGCACGCCTTGCAACTCGGGCTTTGCCACCAGCTCCTCTGTCAGGGGAGGGAAATGGGAAAAAGCCTTTAGAATTATTTCACTTCATTCATCCACTTCCGTTAACTTCCTACACTTTACTAGCAATGATCTCCACGTGAAATCTGATGCGACCAATAAGCCCAACCTGGGATAAACGAACAGGCTGCTACACAGTCGCTGATTTTGAAGTGCTTTATGTTAACCCCTGTTTAAGCTGGGTTCTCCCCGTTCTTAAATCACAAATCCATCCAAGAAAAAGTCTCTTTAACTGGCTTTGGTTGATGCCAGTGTACGCAACTCATTCCGCTCAATTAGTGCAACGCATTCACAGATGGAAAAATCATGTCGACAGATTATACTCGATAATATTAGCTGCTTTGGATGTAACAAATGGTCAACAGTTGTCTTCATTTCAGATTTATTTTGACAAAAAACAACATATGGTTGCTCTCATTTGCTTTTTCCCCATTTACACATGTTTTTTTTCCACGTAAATAGGCCGTTACCAGATCTGGTGCAGGACTCTGGAAGTTAGAATGGGTTGTATTATTTTTTTAACAATTTGACACATCCACTCTTCGTCTTATGTTGATCCAACAAAAGCCAGCAGAGCTAAATGCTTTGTACCACTGGAATGCGACTGATTAAAAACAGACACTCAAGTTTTTTAAGAATGAACAAGGCTGGAAAACAAACAGTAAGGTCACTAGCACCTAGAATAAGGATACAAAGAAAGCCCTTGGGCCTATAGTTTGCTCTGAGCGTGGACTATTTGCCTTTTTACGGTTTAGATTGGCGCTGCCCTGAATTAGCTCACCAGTTTGGGCAACTCATCCTGTAAAGTCAGAGGTTTGGGCAACTCATCCTGTAAAGTCAGAGGTTTGGGCTAGTCAAAACAAATCTGCTCTGCTCTGATCTCGTGTCTTTGTGCTTCTCACCGATGTGTTTGACTATATTGCTGATGGTGGGCTGGAAGAGCTCGTTCATGGCTTCCTGCGTGAGCCGCAGCATCCCCTGGGACGACCACTTCACGATGTTCATACTGAGGAGAAAGTCTTTAATGTCACACATAAATCCATCCATTGTTTAATCAAACACACACACACACCCCCCCTTCTCCCAGTCCCCGCTCACTTGCTCTTCCTCAGGGCGGCCTCCACACTCTGCCCTCGTTGTCTCTTGTAGAAGTCGATGAAAGAGAAGGGCAGGGAGATGTTGAGGGCGTTGGCTCTGCCCGGCGCCGCAGTCCGTTTCCTCGCCTCGAACGCGATGGTGAGGTCCACCCAGGCCGCCGGACGCTTGGCCTTGAAGCTCTTGATGAAGTCCTCACCGAAGATCTGACACAGCATGGCTTCAAAGGCCAGGTCCACTCCGACCGCACCGTACGGACCGCCTGGAAGAAAAGAGACTTTATTTAATTTGAAAGTTAACCAAGGATCGCAAACCTTTTCTTTTACATTGCTGATGTACTTAATTTCTTATTTTCTTATTCTATATTTATTTATCTATTTATTTGATTGTATGCCATGTCTTGTAATGTCAGTGCCAGGACCCTGAGGGAGATGGATTTGTTGATGAAGTGTGCCGCCAGTATTTCACTGTTCTATGTGAAGAATTCTAACCAAATTTGAATTACAAAAAAAAAAGATTTAAAGATTCAAATTCAAAGGTTTCATTGTTATATACACAGTAGCTACATTGTAATTATAGCAATGAAGATCTCCTTTAACAATCCAACATAAACATATATGGGCCATTCTACCGAATTGGACCAAAGCCAGGTTGGAAATGTTTTGAAATGTTGTATGTTTTTTTCCCAAAACTTTATCCATATATATTTTGTACCATATCTAAATTACACATATCTAGTAAAAGAACCGTACATTTTTATATCATATTTTCAGACTGTATTGGAATGTTCTTCCTCTACCAAAAATGGTCACTACCGAAACATAGTACATACACTGCAGTAAAACAGTATTATATTAACCTGTTAAGATTGTTTTACCTTCCCTTCTCTAAATAGTATTTTAACAAATATTTCTTGAGGGTTTTCACAATTAAATGAATAAAAGTGCATTTTTAATCAAATTTCAAAGTTCAATTTATACAATTCCTAAAAATCATAATGCAAACTTTCTTTGTAAAATGCATAATACTGATCATATTGAATCCAGAGTTGATGATTGTTGAAATTGAACATACATTAAACCAATCAGTATCATATCATTTTAGTTGATAAGTCAATATACTTAATTTTTTACAAAACATCCAGTGTTTCGGTAGTGACCACAGTATTTTGTTCTCAAGGTTGTATCATATTCCCTCAACCTTATTGCTTAATCTTAACTCATAACATGCCTTATGTTGAAGTGTGAATGTTTGAAGCTACTGACCCAGAATCAGCACTTTAGTAACAGGCTGAAATAGAGGGGGATGAGGCTAGAATGCATGATCTGTTTGGTATTTTGAGCAAAACACTTCATAGACATGTTTTTTATATATCTTAGACCTATAATATATGCCTAACAATAGTATAATAGGAGACCTTTAAAGTAACACACTGATTTTCAGACTTTAAAACACATTTATTTCAAAATGGTGGGATTTACCTGCTTACCATTCCATTTTGTCACTACCGAAACGATCATGTCAATTACCGAAACGTAACCATATGTTTCGGTAGTGACTGTTTCGGTAGTGACTGTTTCGGTAGTGACGATTCTAGCTAAAATTGAGCATAACTAAAGAATGCTAGCAAGTACATATAGCATACACGTTTTTGAAGAGGTTTACACACATAAAAACATAATACTTTGCATAAAACTCAGAAAAAGTTTACTTAATTGAAGATAATGTAGTGACAATTCTTAAGGTTACAAGCCGATTTTCAGATTTTGGAACAGATTTATATCAAAAGTATGGGATATAGCTACTTGCCATTCAGCCATGAGGGACAGGGATGCAGTGTCACTGCCTAGTCAAAAATGCAGTGGTGTGGCTAAAAACCAGGCTCAGCCATTGGACTAAAACCCCTTGTGTTTCGGTAGTGACATGAAAACTGGGGACATGATCTTTTGAGTATAGTTTTTTTATTAAAAAAAAGATACCCAGAATAAATCTAAATATTCCAACTTCTGTTTGAATGTAACCATAAAGATCTTCTAAATACACCATTGAACAAAATAAAAAAATATATTTTAAGTGTTATTTAAAGAAATTGAAATTTAGATGTCAGGGTTGGGGACAGCTACTTCCCAATAGAAAGTACCCTATACATGATGTTTTTGTATATATTAAGCTTATCACTATCTAATTTAATGCCTTGTGTTTAAATAGACCATAACATATTCTTAGTAAATATCTATGTCTGAATACTTAATTGTTTTGTTAAATACTGTAGTTTTTCTTGTCGTGGGACCGCACTTTGTACTAATTCGGCCCCATATAAGACGTAACAATAAAAGTAGTGCAATAAGAAACAGAATAGAAATAAAACAATGCAAGATAATGTTGCAAGTGACCAATGTGCAAGTAATGCACATTGGTCACATATACATGTAAAATAGATGAAGATAAGCTAAAAACTGAATGTAAAATGAAACACTGTACAGGGGACTAAAATACTGCTTTCTGTAGTCATAAATAAATATGTGACATTGCAAACAGATGCTTAAAGGTAGGGTAGGTACGTTTGAGAAACCGGCTCGAGATCGCTAGAATTTGAAAATACACAACCGGAGAGAATCTGCCACTTCCTTACAGAGCCCCTCCTCCAACACACACGAACGCGCACATGACCAATGAGGGCACGAGATAAGTTTGTGCACAGATGGAAGGCTGACAGGCAGGTAGGCCATCCAGTTATTTTAGCCGGGCCGGCTAAAATGATTGGTCGTACTTTCTACAGTATTACGGCTTCCACAGATGAAATTTTTGTATGGATTTTTTGTCAAAGCACTTAAGATATTCATTGCTATCGGGATGTTAAGAGCATTCCATGGAATATAACAAAAAGTGTATCTCGAGCCGGTTTCTCAAACTTACCTACCCCACCTTTAAGCTTATGAAGGCACTAAATCATAGGAAGTTCTGTGTGTGTTTTAGCAGATTGTGAAAGTACCTGAAGCCTTGTAGAGCTCTTTGAGTGTTCCCTGTGGCTGCTCGATCTGATGCACCGTCAGGTCCACTGTCCCTCCTCCACAGTCTGCAACGATATACCTGTCCCCTGCAAGAGAGAGCACACACACACACCATTAATAACTGCAGTGATCATTCCACTCCATAAGTTGTAGAAGGAAACAGTGGATGATAGTGTGTCTTCTTTTTTGTGGAATGTCTTAATGTGTGTGTGTTTCCCCTGAAACTCTTCAACCAGCAGACCATCAAACATAAACAATCTCCAGGCTGTGATTGCTGCCCTCTGCTCTTGTGTGTTTACAATCTGCTCAGCGATAACAGCCGGTTTTGACTTAGTTACCCTGAGTTTAGATGAAGCCCTCCTTGAAACGTATGAGTGAGTGAGAAAAAGAGAAGCTACACAAAAAGAATAATAAATGGAGGATGAGAGAAGAAAATGTGAAAGAAGGAGGCGAATAAAACTGGCTTCTACTCGTTTGGTTTATTTACAGTGCAGATGCAGAGTCCCATGGGCTGGGTCCTTCCTGTGGGTGTGTGTGTGGGATTGTGTGTGTGTGTGTGTGTGTGTGTGGGGACAGGAAAGGGAGCAGAAAGGGTCAGCAGGGGCGCGTGGCTCCTCAGATTGTTGTCATGTGTAAAACTGGAGAACTAGATTTATTGGTCCTGTAGGATCATCTCAGGCAACACTGGACACTGTGGATTCACACGTTGTGGTTCTGCGTGGAAGTCAAGTACTTAAGTGCAATTTTGAGGTACTTGACCCGAGTATTTTTGTTTTCATGCTACTCTATAATACAACTCCATTACATTTCAGAGGGATACTGTACTTATTGCACTACATTAACCTGACAGCTTTACGAAATGATGTTTTGTCTGTGAGTTTAACTTAATAATAATAGTGATTCCAACTTGTCATGTTTGAAGATTTGCTGATTCTCCTTTCATTTTTTTAATGTCTTTAATACATTTGTTACACTACTATTTATGGACTGTGTGTAACTTTTGGATCTGGTTACTTTTACTTTTAAATACTGACATACCTTCACCAAAGTACATTTTAAATGCGGGCTTTAACATAAGTAAAGGGTCTAAATATTTCCTGTTGTGTTTGCTAGTTTAGGGTGACCTTGATCCTTGGCCCTTATATTCATATTTTAATTGTATTCTTGAAAGGTTACAACTTTACATTTGTAATAACATTAATTAAGAACAGAGTAAATGCAGAATGAGATGACTTTAAGCAGGAAGGAAAGGTTACAAAGGATTTCTATAAATGAGTAAGTAGGTGGGTTTGCTTCTGCTGGGGTGAAAAGTCAAAATCATCAATATCTCCAACATGTGGGGTCTGACACACACTCCGACACACACACCCCCCCCCCCCCCCCCCCACACACACACACTCTCTCACCAGTCTGCAGCTCCGACCACAGTTCTCCGGTTCCACTCTCCACCAGGAAGATCCTGCTGTGTCTGGATCGCCTCAACTGCTCCCTCGCTGCAACAAACATAAAACATACTTCAGTTTTTTTATTTGGATAGGATGCTGCACATGCTCTTGTGTGAGATGATTTGGGTCAGCACATCAGTTCACATTGTTTTTTAGCTTCAGCAGGCAGCTGTTTTCAGCCATAAAGTTTGAAACCCCCTCTATGCTGTGCAGTTCTTCAGGGGCAAAGCAAGGATTTCTGGGTCCCTCAGGTTCGAAAATGAGTTATTGTCCCCCTGAAACAATGCTCTGGGCCCTTTTCAATTCAACAAGGTTTTGATGGACTCTATTCAGCTCTGGGACCCAAGGATCATTACCACCTTTCACCATGCCAACATCCAAACAGTCTGTCTGTATAAACAAACTAAGCTCGTGTTTAATGCCATAACATAAACTTTCAACCTAATGAGGATGAATGCTTTTAATCTATACAACATAAAGTATGTTTCACAACCCATGAGGTCATGACATTTACCCCAAATCTTTCACACTAAGTGAAACAAGAAAAACATACCAAAACCAGAGTCATAATGTTTTTGCATGACAGAAGCGATATGTTGGAAATGCTCTCACATTTCAGCTTTCTCCCCACTCTCGACATGCTAACCGTCTGACTGGCAGGTTATGAGTATGGATGGAGGCCAAGGAAAACAGAGCGCAGCTGACAGAAATACAAAACACCTGACAGCCTTTGACAGAGCAGATACACTTAATGGGCCTCCATACATGCAAGTAGACCCATAAAAAGACATCATGGATTTAAGATGAGCAACATCTAAAGATTAAGGGAGGATGTAGTAAGGAAAGGTCGTTTTTTTTTGTCTTTCAACAACTTGTACAGGGTTGTGGTGAAGCTGCGGCCCTGATGTAAACGTGTGTGAGTGAGTGTCAGTGTGTGTGATTTGTTTGACAGTCTGGAGTGAAGTGTTTGTATAATTTAGGTCGAAGTGGTTTTTACTGTTCCCTCAAACCCCATGTTTCTTCACTCCACGATCATTTGAATAAGAGAAAGGTATTCGAAAGAAAGACAGAAACAAAGAAACAAAACACAAGAAAGGAAAAGAAAGATTGAAGAGCAACATATTTTCCTGAAAGCAAATACTCGTACAATTGTTTTAAGGCTCTGGATCTAGGGGGTATGAAATATGTGCATGTGTGTGTATTTCTGTGTGTTCCTTTGTATGGGGTGATGAATGTAATGCAAGTCTGGAAACCATTTACATGAAACAGCAAAATAGAAAATGTGTGTGTGTGTGTGTGGTGTTCGGTTTCTGCAGAGTCTTTCCAAAGTGTAGGTCTTGGCAAAAAGGAAAAGTTAGAGGGGGAGGAAATGTTAGCAAGACAGAAGGAAAAGAAAGAAAAATGAATGTAGGGAAGGAGAGGGAGACTGACAGGCCGGGAGGGGGTGAGATCATAGTCTCACTGCACCTTGTTCCAATTACAATATCCTGTGTTTAGTGTGTGTGTGTGTGTGTGTGTGTGTGTGTGTGTGTGTGTGTGTGTGTGTGTGTGTGTGTGTGTGTGTGTGTGTGTGTGTGTGTGTGTGTGTGTGTGTGGGGCTGCATATGTATAAGTGGGCCTGTGCAGGGGATTTTGGACGGCATGTTGGTGTGCTGAATAATGCATCAGTGTCCTTTTTCTCAGCATGAAATCGCCCTTTGTTTCTTGGCTGCAAATTGGCAGCATTTTCGGGAAATTGAAAAGTTATTCACCCTTTCAAATACTATAGAGTTGCAAAGTGAAAAGAGTTTGTGGTTCTGGAAATTGTCTTTCCCTGAAACTGCAGAGAATAATCACCAAATTCCCCTCAGTTCTAAGGAGTGATTTAGCGTCTTTCAGTTCTTTGTTTTCTTAGTTTTCTGCTCGCAGCTTTACTGTTTTGGTTCACTCTTGCCACTTAAATCAGCATCAATTTCAGGCTTAATAGGAGACCTTATTTCGTTTTAACCAAAAACTCTGATAATCCTATTCTACGCAACCTGCTCGACCGAAAGCTAACAAGCAAGGAGCAGTTAGCATCTAATGAGCCAGGTGTTTCCCTCGAGAGAAGAGCTAAGAATAAGGATGAATCTTGGACTTGCATTATACGGAATGCAAGAAACCAAGCTTTAAAATAAATGCTAATGTTCCTCTGTATCTTCTAGATGTGCTAATAGGGAACAGTTTGTCTACATGCTCACAACAGCAACTTTATAACATGATAAAATGCCAATTTTGCGTTAAAGAAAAAAGTAACAAAATACTTTACACTGTGCTATCAGGAAAATAACACACACACACACACACACACACACACACACACACACACACACACACACACACACACACACACACACACACACACACACACACACACACACACACACACACACACACACACACACACACACACACACACACACACACACACACACACACACACACACACACACACACAACCTTGTCTGAAGCTAGATTCGAAGGGCCTGGAGTCTTCCAGGTCGAAGCCGTTTGTGATTGGCTGTAAGCTCAGGTCGAGCACCTGGTGGAGGCGGAGCTTGCGGCAGTAAATGGACGCGGCCTCCGGCTCCAGAGCGATGAGGAGCTGCTCCGGACAATCAGGAGACACCAGACCAGCCTACAGAGAGGGTGAGGAACATTACAAGTGTTATTACCCTGCAACATTATCCATTGTATTAAGACACTGAGGACATATTAGTATTGGTAACATATTGGTATTGGAAAAATAAGTTCTCAAACATCCTCATATAATGGTTTGTAGGATATTTTACAAAAGTTATTGTATTCTTCTTTGGCCTATGAATGTTCAGCAATACGAGTGATCAGTGTTCCCACAAAAGATTATGGTTCAGAAACTGCAACAAAATTAGAATCAGAATTACCAATACTTAAAAAAATCCCAGGGGAAATTGGTTAAAGTATATATAAATTACTCATGTAGGTTCAAGAAAGATCGTAGTTTGGGATTAATAAATATGTTGGAATTACTTGGTGAAATTTAGAACAAAAGGACTACTCAATCTTAAAATATTGTGGCAATATCAACATTACATTAGTTTATAACCTGGCCCCATTACTTGGCTAGGTTTAGCAAAATATTGTAGCTTAAATAGCTCAAATAAGTACGGAAGTGGTGTTGCTTGAGTACGGAAGATACATAACAAATAAGTAAATGTTGACTTTTGTTTTCACTCTGCACACAAACAGCGGTGTCTGTGTGAAAGTGTTTGTTTGACTCACCCATGCACCCTGACCCCTCCCTATGCAGACTTTTGCACAATAATCGTGCATTACTTTTGATAATTATAACAGCGTATGAGAACAACCTGTGCTTTTAGGTGTGTGTGTGTGTGCAGGGCGGGGGTCTGGACACCTCTTCCTGTGTTTGTATGCCGGTCTCCCTCATTGTTCGCTTGTGATGACATCATCGCCAGCAGGAAGCACACACACCCTGACAGCCGAGAGCCGGAGCCAGCATAGGGTGTATGTATATGTCAGTGTATATGCCAGCGTGCATGTGAAAGTGTGTGTCCATTAGACTATTTATGTATGTACCCCGGTGAATAAAGGGCAAAGGAGAAATAAAGGTGAACAAATGTGTGTGTGTGAAAAATTGAACATTTTACAGAGAGGGAATAAGGAATAAAGCATGATATTGAATGTAAAAGTAGTACAGTCATTTCCATGGACTGTTGCTAATTAATTAACAATCACACACATGAGTCAGTCCATTCTCATTGATGTGTATTGTGATAGGCCCCCTTGCATTCCTGTCCATGCACGCACACTTCCTACAAGTCATTGGGACAAATACAGTGCACTGAAGGAGGAGTGTGTGTGTTGGTGGGAAGCTATACAGGGAGGATAAAGGGAAAGTGCAGAGTGTGTGTGCATAGCAGGGGATCTTCCATGGGAACGTTAATTAAAGAGCCTTAATCTCATGCTGTTGTGTCACCAAATATTGAGATAGGTCAAATGTTTTTCTTTCACAGGACCTATATACATGTTTTTATGAGAATGGATGGATCAGGAGACATATTGGATGTAGAGACCCTCCTGGTTCCTACCAGGTATGCAGCCTCTCTCATGAACTGTTTGGCGGGTTGTCTCCACACAGCTGGGACGGTGATCACCCATCGGATGTCCTCTCCCTCCAGCACTGATGACGACTGGTCCTTCACCTCCTAAAACCAATCAAAGAAACATCGTCTTTGGTAAACACACTCAAAACTGAATTTAAGTTATGAGCTTCTGTCAAAGCAAAGCACTTGAGCTCATCTGTGGACCTTGTCTTTTAAACTACACATAAAAAACACATTTAAATACATCTATAAATATGAGGTTCCATACTGCAATTATATGGGGTTTCATAATGCACCTTTAGAGCATGTTCCCTGAAGAAGTGCAGGGCGTGAGCAAACACCTCGATGGCCCTGACCTTCCGCCCGCTGACCGCCTCCAGCTCCGTCTCCATGGTGAGGTCCTGCAGCAAACACAACCCCAACTGTTGAAAAACTGCTGCAAGAACAAGTCATCTATCTGATTCTTACAGTTCAAGAAAAGAAACTGCCCAATTGGAAGCTGCAGAGGCTAAGATCCTACACTTCCCACAATGCATCCTGGTCTGGATGTGTAAATTGAACCCTTTTGTTCTGGATAGTTTATGAAAATAGTTCTTCTGTCATTGCCACCCACATATTCCACCCATCTTCTCTGATTCTCCTGATGTCTCTTACACTTGTGCTGTGGATCTTCATCTTGAACTTATCGAAGTAGAGCCAGTGTCGAGCCTCCTCCGGGTCCAGGTCGTGGTAAAAGTCCCGGGCCGAAAACCCAAAACTGTGGAACTTCAATTCAGGAGTCAGAAGCAGACACGTTGGGCTCTTCTGATTGGCTACACCGGGGTCCCCTCCCTCCCAGCGCCTGCAGGGATCGGAGGAAAAAGATGTCAAGGGTAAGACAATAATAAAACTGAATTTATTCAAGGAAACAAAAACAGAGTCTTACTTCATCATGTGTATGGCCTCTGAGTCCTGAGTGAAGCTAAAGGCGTAGCCGCTGGAGGTCGTCCCAAAGTCTATCGCCACGACAACTGAGAAAGGACAGGACATCCGGGGTCTGACCTCCACCCTCTAAGAGAAAGACAAGGACATTTGTGTGACTATGAAAATTGGTACAGACATTCATATCTACCTCAGGAGAAATCAGTGAAAACTAGTATGATACAACCTTGGGTCGTAAGGCAAATTTGTTCCTTGAAAAAAAAACACAATTTTTCTTTCTCCTAATATTTAGCCTAAGTATTCATGCTGTAAAAATGTGGAACATAGTATAGTCTACCTGCTAAACATTAGCATGTTAGCATGTTCTCTTGTTTAAGGTTCAACACTAAAAGGAAGAAATCCTCATAGTCTGCTACAAATATCACAGTCTATGATCTAATGCAGGCAATCATTTCTGTCTGGAGAGGAAGCACGGGTGGAATTTAAAACACATGCTTCTCACATTTCAGAGATAAATTGTTTTGAAGAGTGGAAATTAGCAGGTTGGCTTAGAAATCTGTTGTTTTTCAAGGACTTCCCTTCATTCCTCTCCTCTCCTTTAGGGAAGATATTGTGTTTTTATAGGGTACTCGCTTTAGTTCTACACCTCACTTTAAACTCGGAGTGAAAGTGTTATTATAAACCACTAATAACAGTGAGAAGTGGGTGTGGGTTTACAGGCCGTGTTTAAAAGCTCTATATAAAGAACGTAAGGGAATGGGTGTGTGGTAGTGTCTGTGGTGGATGTGTGTTTGCGTTAGTGCATAGTTACCGGTGAGGGTGAAGGTGTGAGGGGTGTGATGCTGCAGTCATTTCGAGCTGTGGCAGGCGATGAAGGGGCTGATAAATGATCACCTGTGAATTAGTGGATTAAGGGAATTCTAAACACATTAAAGCATTGGAATAGTGCCACACGTACTGAACACAATAGTCAAAGAACATGCAGCTTCTTATCATAGGGAAAGAGTGATTATTACACTAACATACGAGCACAAATGCAGGCAACACCTTATCTTTCACACACTTGACCTGAAGCTCTCTATATTGAATATTTGTAATGAACCGGAATGACTGGAATGTCACTGGAATCTGATGAGGGTAATTTCCAAGTGGGAGAAGAACATGGAAAGGTCAGCGTGTTCACACTCCAAAAGATAACGGGAGGTGAAGTGAGTCATTTTGACCAGGTTGCCATAGTGTTGAAGCATGTGTATAAACTGTGGAGGAGAGTGTGTGTTTCTCACCGGGAATCTGCAGGCTGTCGGGGTCAGGCTGCGCCTCGTCAGCCATTTTTGCAGGAGCCAGGGTCTGCGGAGGAACACACCAACATGATGCAAAAATAAATATTGTGCAATAGAAAGCCAGACATTTGGAGACACGTATTCTTCAGATACTCACTAACCATCATTCACAGCAACTGTCAACGCACTTTATCTAAATGCTATATGAGTGATGTGAGCCAAGTTATTGGATGGGTTGAACAAACAATATAACCTGGAAAAGTGATTCAAGGTAACTTGAGGAATGTTGTGCACTTATTTAAAGACTTATTCACAT